CCCATCAGCAAATAAAGGTCCTGAAGGCTTTACTCCATTTGCGGCATCACGGTGAACTCTACTTTGAGGAAACAGCTCACACCCCAGTCACAATTTGAGTGCCTTCCAACCTGAGGGGTCACCTTCTGGCATGTATCTGATGGTGCTCTTCATCATGTTTCAGCATCAGTATTCTAGTATGGACATATTTCCACTGCTATTCATAAGGTTTTCAGTGACTAAATGGAAGTAACCAGTCTCTTTCTTCTTATTAGTCTGTCGTCTTAGCATTATAGAAACACAGAAGCCACTGTAGTACAACCATCTGATAGATGAATATTGGTACAAGAATCTAGAGATCACTTAATTTAAAAGAGACTTGGTCATTAGAATTTTATGATTAAACATTTTTACTTGACTGTTGTTTTTTCCTTTAAAACTCACAATAGGAATCCAGAAACATTTTGGACCACCACAGGAATGTTTCCTCAGGAGTTCATTATATGTTTTCATAAACATGTAAGGATTGAAAAGCTTGTAATCCAAAGTTACTTTGGTAAGCAACTATAATCTTTAATTTTCATCATGTTTTAGGCAGAGGGCACATCTGTAAACTTTTGGCAAAACACAAGTGTTTTTCTACAGCATGGAACCCAGTTTTATTGCTGGAACTGAGTGTAGGGAATATGAGTGCTTTAAGCACAATTAACCTGTCTGAAACTGCACATTGGTAACACTTCTGAAGCGCACATGATGTTCTAGCAACTTACTATGTGGAAATACTTGGCAAAAGACCACATTATGAACTTTCCAGAATACTAGATTCTATGAAATCTTTATTCCAGAATTATTTAGTCTGGGATTTCCTATCATATTCTTCCTGAACATCTAATAACCTTAATAATTCACATTAGATAGTTTTGATTTTTCTATTACCAGTGGCTTTTTCTGAAGATCTTAGGAGAAGAATCTGCCATTGGAACTTCATTCTAATTTTGTTTTATGGTTATTTAAGGATTAAGTATATCGCACAAAATGCTGGCAGAAAACAATACATCCTAGTTTGTTCAGAAATAAACAGACTTTAACGATGGAACTACTTACAAAATTGTGGGTGGGTTAAGCACTGGACTGCTGACCACAAGGAAAGCAGTTCAAAACCATCGGTTGCTCCTCAGGTTGGACCAGACCCTGAAGAAGGATATTATGCTTGGTAAAGTGAAGGGTCAGCTAAAAAGAGGAAGACCCTCACGAGATGAATTGACACAGGGCAAATGATTAATTTTCAGAGTATAGTGTTCCTGATCCCAGTCCCACCAATAAGAGTTTCAAGGACAGGAACACAGAATCAAGTAGATAATTAACACTTTATTTATGTTGTTTATTTACCATACTAGTGCGGACCTTGAAGATTGAAAAGAGCACATCTAAAGAGCCAGTTGATTTTGAGCAGTGGATTGAAAGAGGTATGTGTTTGTTTGTTTCACCCACGTTGTTCTCAGTTTAAGAAAGTAGAGAATTGTCCTGTAACTCTACATTTCTAATTGGGCTGCATTTTAGTGAAAATAGATGATCCTTGTGACATGCTTGTTGTTGGTAGTTGGAAAGTGATGCCAACTCCTGGTGATGGTATATGCAGAGTAGAACTGCTCCATAGGCTTTTCAAGGCTGTGACCTTTCAGAAGCAGATTTCTAGGCCAGTCTTCCAAGGTACCTCTGGATCAGTTCAGACCTCTTAACATTTCAGATACTAGTCAAATACCTGTGACACATTTATGGCCTAGGAAAACCCAAGTTTGAACACAAGACTGCTATTTCACTTACCGATTATATAATCGTCGACATGTTGTTACATGCTATTGAATCAGTTCTGACTCATAGGGACCCTGTGTACAACAGAATGAAACACTGCCCAGGCTTGCGCCATCCTCGCCATTGTTACATTTGAGGCCATTGCTGCTGCCACTGTGTCAGTTTATCTCGTTGAGGGTCTTCCTCTTTTTAGCTGACCCTCCACTTTACCAAGCATAATATCCTTCTTCAGAGTCTGGTCCAACCTGATATGTCTGAAGTATGAGAGACAGAATCTGGCCATCTTCACTTTTGAGGAGCATTCTGACTGCACTTCTTGCAACACAGATTTGTTTGTTCTTTTGGCAGTCTGTGGTACTTTCAGTACTCTTAACACCATAATTCAAATGTGTCAATTCTTCTATGGTCTTCCTTATTCATTGTCCAACTTTCACATGCATGAGGTGATTGAAAAATACCATGGCTTGAATCAGGAGCACCTTAGTCCTCAAACTGACATCTTTGCTTTTTGACACACATACTACTTAATTTTTCTGAATTTAATTCTTCTGAAAAATGAAGATGATACTTACCATTTAAGGTTTTGTGAACATAGCATGTGGCATGACAGACCAACAATAAATATTAATTTCTCATCTTCTGTCTTTCCTTCCTGTTTAATGGTACTACTTAAATAGCATCAGTAGAATTGGTAGTTTCCAGTTAAACACACATATTATCCTCATGTGTTTATCTCCTTTAACTCCCCAAACACTATGCCTCTTCTATTCTTTTACTATGAAGATAATAGTAAAAGAATAGAAGAAGCATAAGAAGAGAGAAGACAAAAGAAAACAAAAAATGAGAAGACTAAAGCAAATGTGAGAGACAAATACATGTTATGGATTAAGGAAAGTAGGTGGAAGAGTGGTAACTTTGGTAGCTGGATAGAGTGAGTACAAGCTAAGTGTTGCCAAGGAGACTATCAAAGCAAAGCAAATCAATTTGCCCATAGCATTTGGACTCTAGTTCCCTTTTCTTACCTCAAAAAGTTAGAATGACCTTTCTCCCAGAACCCCTAATCCTCAGCAGAGAAGTAGGAACATTGAATATTAAGGTACAGGACTCAGGGAGACAAAGCATAGCAGAAAGAGTGAATGAAATGTAGGGTTGAAAAATAGGATTTTCAACACATGAATGCCTACATATTTAATAGTGAAAACTCCAGCCTCCTTCTTGCCCTCTGTTATTAATGACAGCAGCCAAGAGTGCATCTCCAACAAAAAGATTGGAAGACTCATCTTTGGAGTAATTGGATGGATCCAGAAAAAGATCTATGGGTAATAACAAAAGCTGGTTCACTCCTGGCCACCTTGTTAAAGTCTGCCATCATTAGGCCTGGCTCATGCACACAATTTAAAAATTTTTTATTCATAAATAACAAAAGACAGCCAAAGATCACCAGACATTTGATGAAGGCCTCAAACTTGGAATATAATTGTACATTTAGCTCTGATTTCCAATCATAGAAAATGTACGGAATAGAGGGATAACTCACTGTCTGCTCCTTGGAAACCCTATATAGGGATGATTTCAGTTGGAACCAACTCAACAGCACTTGACAACAATGACATCCTCTATAATGAAATCATGAGGAGACAAGAAGACAAAATCTAGAATTTGGGGCTTTCTATAGGACAGCCGACCTCTTCAGAAGTCTGTGGCATGAAGAGAGAAAAGGATGTGGGAAGAGAAAATTGTTCATGATTAAAAATATAGACTTCATTCTGATGTGAATAAAAAGACTATTAAAAAGGCATTTGGGGGGTATTTTGGGAAATTTGAATATGGACTAGGTATGATATTAAAGCATTATTTTCAAGGTTAGTATGTATGTGTAGTGAAATTAATTCCTTTAAATGGCCTTTTGTCTTGGTTCTTTGGAAAATAACTTGAGAGATTTTTTCCCTTCTCCAAGGCTTTCTGCTTCCGCAAAGATTTATAGCCTCAGAAACCCTGTACAGGGTTGCTGTGAGTCGGAACCGACTCCACAGCACATAATCACCACCACCATCCACCAAAGACTTTAGGAGTAACCTTTTCACTAGTTTTCTGCCCTAGAGGGTTTGATACTGTCTTCAGGTTGATTGATGTTTCCTGGGTAAGCTGTAAACAATTTGTGGTTTGATACTTTCCTTAGTTTTCTGCCTTAAAGGGTTTGATACTGTCTTCAGGTTGATTGATGTTTCCTGGGTAAGCTGGAAACAATTTGTGGTTTGATACTTTTTATCTGTGCTGCAGGCTGCCCTCTGACGGGTACCACCCTCTGACGGGTACCTTATAGGGATTGGTCAGTAGACTGCAAATGAAATGTCTGTGGCCTGCTGACAGGTGATTGGTCTGTTTGTGACTCTAGTGGCATGCCATACCTTGAAATTGATAATGAGTTGGCTTATTTATATATGTAACCACCCACACAGAGGTTGGCAGACAGAAACAGAAGGAAAAAGAAGAAAGTAACAGAAACAGAGGTGGCGAGGAGCCTTCTAAAATAGCTGTAACACTAGTCAAAAGCTATAATGCTGAAGATGGTGAAAGGCTTAGCAGGAGTCCTGGGCATAGTTAGTGGTAACAGCAGAAAACTGCTGCTAGGAATGCAGTTAAGAGTGTTAAAAAAAAAAACAAAGCAGAACAGCTACTCTGGCTCTGAGCAGAGTCAGCAGTTGAAAGGCTGACAGCAGGAAGACTAAAGGCAGAGCGGGCCTGTCCTCTGGGGAGCTAGAAGACCCTATCCTGGAGGGGGCCTGAGAGGAGGCCTGCACAGGAGAGAGTGAATTTGCAAGGCATGACTTAGTAGAGCTGAGAGCTGTCCTGAACTAAAGAAGAGAGGGACATACTTTCCACTTAGGAAGAACCTTCCAGACCTTGTCTACGTGCTTCCCAATCCTAATCCTAATCCTAATCCTAATCCTGAGGTTTAGCCAGTTCCTGATCACTGTTCCCTCTTAATTCCTTAATAAACCATGTAACTCTAAGTATGGTCTCTGTGTCCTTTGTAGCAATTGCAACAAATTATCAAACCCAGCAAAGAAGTAGAAAGTGTCCTTAGAAGGACAGCTGGTGTCAGAATTGGCAGAAAGGTCTGAAAGTGGAGGTATCTCTGACCTCCATTTCATAGGGCACCAGCTCTTTGTTGATCTTGGTCATTAGCCCCCTGAAGTTAGATAGGTTCTGACAACACTACTACTAGTATTTTACAGTATGATAATGGTTTTGTGGTTATGTAATAAAGTATCCTGTGCTTTAGAGATATATTATCAAGTATTTCAAAGAACAAGTCTCTTGAAATGCAGTCAGAAATTTTCAAAGGGCAGCTCAGAAGGTAAAGTCAATTATTAGAATGAAATGTACAGAACCCTGGAGTAAGAAATCCAGAAGGGAAGAATACACTGAGCATTTCTCAAGTTGAAAAAAAACTAAAGAAATAATTCAAGCTTCAAGTTGAAATGTTGAAGGATCCTCTAGGAAAAATACTGAACAAAACAGGAAACGTAAAATGAAGATGGAAGAAATACATAGAGTTACCATACCAAAAAGAGTTAGTCAATTTTCAACCATTTCAAGAGGAAGCATATGATCATAGCATATGGTATTGAAGGAAGAAGTCCAAACTACAGTGAAGACATTGGCAAAAAATAAGGCTCCAAGAATTGATGGAATACCAATGGAAATGTGTCAACAAACTGATGTAGCCCTGGCAACACTCACTTGTCATTGCCAAGAAATTTGGAAGACACCTACCTGGCCAACAGATTGGAGGGGATCCATATTTGTGCCCACTCGAAAGAAAGGTGAAGAATTCAGAAGTTATTGGACAGTATCAATAATGTCACAGGCAGGTATAGTTTTGCTGACAATAACTCAAAAACAGCTATAGCAGTACGTTGACAGGGAGCTGCCAGAAATTCAAGCCAGATTCAGAAGACGATGTGTAACAGGGGATATGATGTCAAATGGGTCTTGTCTAGAAGTAAATAATCCTAGAAGCTGGATTGTGTGAAGAAGAATAGAGCATCAAGATTGGAGGCAAGCTCGTTAACAATTTAAGATGTGCAGATGATACAACCATGCTTGCTGAAAACCAAGACGACTTAAAGGACTTGAAGATCAAAAATATAGCCTTCAGTATTTCTTTTACTCATTGTAAAGAAAGCAGAAATCCTCACGACTAGACCAATAGATAACATTGTGATAAATGGAGAAAAGATTGATGTTGCCAAGGATTTCATTTTACTTCAATCCATAATCAACACCCATGGAAGCATCAGTGAAGAAATAAAATTATTGCGTAGAGTAGATCTGCTGCAAAAGACCTCTTTAAAGTGTTAAAGTGCCAAGTGTCACTTTAAGGGCTAAGGTGCACTTGACCCAATCTATGGTATTTACAATTGCCTTGTATACATGTGAAAGCTGGAAAACGAATAAGGAGGCTTGGAGAGGAATTGATACATTTGAATCATGGTATTGGTGAAGAATATTGAAATTATGGACTGCCAGATGAACAAACAAATCTGTCTTGGAAGAAGTACAGCCAGAATACTCCATAGATATGAGTATGGTGAGACTTCCCCTCATGTACTTTGACCGTGTTATCAGGAATGAGGAGTCCCTGGAGAAGGAAGAACATTATACTTAGTAACATCAAGGGTCAGTGGAAAAGAAGATCCTCAACAAGATGGACTGACACAGTGGCTGCAACAATGGACTCAAGCATAACAACTCTTGTGAGGATGGTGCAGGACACCACAGTGTTTCATTCTGTTGTGTGAGGGGCCACGATGAGTCAGAACCAACTTAATGACACGTACCAACAGCAGTGACAAAGACATCATGAGAGGTCCCCCTGGATCCTTAATTGGTAAGTAACATTGAGTCGGTTCTGACTCATATTAATCCCACATACAACAGAACAAAACACTGCACAACCCTGCGCCATCCTCATAAGTGTGTTTGAACCCATTGTTGCAGCCTGTGTCATTTCTTCTCATTGAGGGTCTTCTATTGTATCTTCTACATGGTGTCCTTCTTTAGGGACTTGTTCTGCCTTATCACATGTCCAAAGTACCTGAGAGGAAGCCTTGCTCCACTTCTAAGGATTGTTCTGGTTGTACTTCATACAAGACAGATTTGTTTTTTTCTGACATTACATAAACTTGATTTAAAATACTTCAGCAAAAAGAAAAATTAAAAAAAAAAAAAACCTTAAGCAAAATAAATAAATAACTCAAGTATGGGGAAATGTTAGTAATTGTAAAATCTAGAAAGTGGTATATATGGAAGGTACAATATTCTCTCATATATGTCTGAGATGTTCCAATTTTTAATTATTAAGTAAATCTAAGCAAATGAGTCCTGCTGTGGCACCAGACTAACCACAGTAAATAAGGAAGACCGTAGAAGAATTGATGCTTTTGAGTTATGGTGTTGGAAGAGAATATTGAAAGTGCCATGGGCTGCCAAAAGAACCAATAGATCTGTTTTGGAAGAAGTGCAGCCGGAGTGCTCCTTGGAGGCCAAGATGGCCAAACTTTGTCTCTCATACTTTGGACATATTATCAGGAGGGGCCAGTCACTGGAGAAGGATGTCATGTTTGGTAAGGTGGAGGGTCAGAGAAAAAGAGGAAAACCCCCAATGAGATGGATTGGCCAAGTGGCAGCATCGCTGAACTCAAGCGTGGCAACAGTAGTGAGGTTGGCCCAGGATCAGGCAGTATTTCATTCTGCTATGCATAAGGTCACTATGAGTTGGTACCGACTGGATAGCACCTAACAACAACAACCAAACCACAAGGTCAGCAGTTCAAACTCACCAGCTGCTTCTTGGAAACCATATACAGGGTCACTGTGAGTCAGAACTGACTCAAGGTCACTTAATAACAACAACCACAAGGAAATGAAAGGTTATTATTAACTCCTGGTAGGGAGAGATGAAAAAGAAAGAAAATGTGATTATAATTTATTAAATGAATCATAATTTATTAACTTGTTGTTATGTGCCATGGAGTTGGTTCCGACTCATAGCGACCCTGTACAGGGTTTCCAAGGCTGTAAATCTCTATGGGAGCTGAAAGCCTCATCTTTCTCCCGTGGAACAGCTGGTAGTTTCGAACTGCTGACCTTGCAGTTCACAGCCCAATTCATAACCACTACACTACCAGAGCTCCTTAATTTATTAACTAGTTCCCCAGTAAATAACACTTAAACAGAAAGAGGAGGCTTTCTGCTCCCATTTAGATTTACAGCCTCAGAAATCCTGCACAGAGTAGAGATTATGAGTCTGAATTGACTCAATGGCAATGGTGAATTTTTTTTTTTTTAGAGTTTTTTTTAATGTAACATAACCATCTACTACTGATTTCAAAATTGGAAGAAGGGAAAAGTTGCAGGAGAAAGAATTTTCTTTTAAGAAATCTAATTTTTTTTTACTACTGTAATAGAAAATAGAAAATGGATAAATCCAGAAAAGGAAATACAAGCATATTATAACTCTGGATAACACCAGTTAAGGAATTGAAAATATTTACCTCTGGAAGAAAAGGAAGGGGTCAGGCAGGGCATTACTATTTTTTATTACTTCAGAGAGGGGCTATAAAGCAGACACATAACAATCTTCCTTCTTAGAGGCTTCCCTTTTCATACTATGTGGCTTTAAAAATAATGTACTTTATTTATTTGGATACAAGTAAAATTCATTTCAAAGTAATGTCAGTAACCACTGCTGTTGAATCAATTCTGACTCATAGTCACCCTATGGTGGTGGTGGTTATGTGCCGTGGAGTCGGTTCCGACTCACAGCGACCCTGTACAGGGTTTCCGAGGCTGTAAATCTTTACCGGAGCAGAAAGCCTTATCTTTCTTTAGCGGAACAGCTGGTAGTTTTGAACTGCTGACCTTGCGTTTCACAGCACGATTCGTAACCACTATGCTATCCAAGCTCCTAGTTGACCCTATAGGACAGAGTAAACTGCCCCATAGAGTTTCCACAGCAACTCACTGGCATGTCACAACAACAGTCTTACAGAAACGATTGCCACATCTTTTCTCCCATGGTCTGGTTGTTGAGTTTGAACTGAAGACCTTTCAGCTGGCAGCTGAGTGCTTTAAACTCTGCCCCACCAGGGCTCCCAACAATAATGTCCGTGGTTTCTTACTTCATTTAAATAGCTCACATTTTTTAAAGCATGTTTGATTTATAATAAAACCTGTGGAAGACAGAACCTCTGTAAGGCAGCAAGCTGTCAGAGAAGGAAAACGGAAATAGTTTCTGCTACTATAGGGTGAGTCCTGGTGTGGCACTGTGGGTTAATGCACTAGACTGCAAAGTCGGTTTGAAACGCAAGGTTGGTGGTTCAGCTTCACCAGCTGCTCCTTGGAAACCCTTTGCCCGTAGGATTACTATGGGTTGGAACCGACGCAGCAGCACCTAAGAACAACAGCAACACAGTGTGATAGAGTTAAGCTGCACCCTACCAGAAGTTGAAAACTTGCAAGACCCAGAGTAACTAGGCAGCCCAGTTACATTGGGCTTTCACAGGTTTCTCTGTATCTGAGTTTGCCCTCTCTGACAGGTTCCTGCCTTATACAGGTCCCAGCTTTCTCAGGTCTTCCTGTGCTTTCCCCCACATTGAGACTACGCCCTGCCAAAGGCAGAAAACTCCAACATGGTAAAGCAAGGCAGTCCTGTCAAGTCGTTTCTCTCACAAGCTTCATTGTTACTAATACTTGATCAAATAAATTAATCTTTCCTAAAACTATGTAAGTAAAGGTGATTAAAACTCACATACCAGAAGAGATCACTTCAGGGTCACATAATAATGCAATATCAGAGTGAAAATTCATGGAGAAACAGAGCTCTCTAGTCATTACCCATGGACATGGTGCAAGGCTGTGATTACCACTGGTAGCTTGATCCTTAACAAGGATTTTCACATTTTATCTCTTCCTTATTTCTTTATATCCTTTTACTATAATTTTCATTTGCATTTTCCTTTGCTTATACTCATTAGGAAGCCCTGGTGGTACAGTGGTTAAGTGCTCACTTGCTAACCCCAAAATCGGCAATTCAAACCCACCAGCCACATTTTAGGAGAAAGACATGGCAGTCTGCTTTCATAAAAGATTGTTGTTGTTGTTGTTGTTAAGTGCCATCGAGTCGATTCTGACCCATAGTGACTCTGTATAGGGCTTCCAAGGTGAGCTTGAACTGCCAACCTTACATTTCAAACAGCTTTACAGTCTGGCACATTAACCCACAGTGCCACAGCTTTGGAAACTGTAAGGGGCAGATAGTAACTCTATCATAGGGTTACTATAAGTCAGAATCAACTAGACAGCAGTGAGGTAATTTATTTGGTATACTCACTAGAGACATTTTATAACTCCTAACTTATCTTTTTTCCATTTTATATCTTAAGTCTTTATTTTTATATCAAATTTTAGCTCCAAAATATCGATAATTCCTTTAAATCTGGTCTTAATTATAGTTTACCAGCTATTGTGTTTTACTGAACATAAATTTCAACAGCTATCCTCAATGTATTTTTAGCCTGTAACTCCTTTCCATTAAATTTGTGTTTTAGATCTAGTGCACACAGAGGGGCAACTTCAAAATGAAGAAATTGTGGTACGTATATATACTTTGTAGAGATAACACAACTTTAACCAGCATACTGTATTTAAAATTCAAGCACATCTCCATATTCACAGAGTTAATGATAGTGTAGATTCTTGATTATAAATTCTGTGTATTATCAGCCCCAAAAGACTGATATTCACAATAATATTAAAGTACAAATGTAGTATTCATAAATTAGGCTCTTCTCTGTCATAGAATGGCAGCAAGGAGAATATGGAATTCACTTACTTGTTTTATTTTTGTTCGTTTATTGATTTTAAATTATTTTATTTGCTTTGCCTTTCTTTCATTTGATTCTATAGGCCTTCTAGACTAAGAATCAGAAAAGGTGGAGTTGCCAAAATTAGGTGTTAATTGAAGCATGAAAGGACACAAGAGATTCAAATAGGGGAACTGAAACATAGGATCAGCAACAAATAAGCCAGAGAGAGATGAGGTGGAGAGAGAGCCAGTATTTTCTGACAACATTCCATTGGGCTTGTCAAGTGGAAACAGTATCTGCTGACAAGGAAGCTGCTGCCTCATCAGGAGTCCCTGTGTTTCTGCTAGTTTATCAGGCTCTGGTTTTTAGACAAAAGTGAAACAATTAAATATGGATTGCTTTAGGTGGTAGCATTTAAGTTTTCTTTAAATAAAAGTTAAAACGAGGACTTCTTGTCCATTAAGTTTCCTTCACAATTTGCTAGGAGCTAATATGACAATGTTTGAAAAGATTTTGTAGTAAGTTTTCAGATCCCATTAATTCCCTTCTCTACCACCAATATTTGCCCAGTAATTAAGGAGACCAGTGGGGAAAAAGGGAACAGGAAAAGTACTAATTATGCTGAATTTTATCTTCCTATTTTTCTCCATCTTTACCTCCTGGGCTCTGGCTATAGAAATGTCTAGTAAACCTCCACTTGCTTTGGTATTGACTCACTGTGGACCAGGGTGAACCCTGGTGGTGCTGTAGGATTATCACTGGACTGCTAACCTCGAGGTTGGCAGTTCAAATCCATCAGTTGCTCCACAGGAGAGAGAGAAGGTTTTCTGCTCCCATAAAGATTTACAGTCTCGGAAATTCTATACAGGTTGCTATGAGTCAGAATCAACTTGATGGCACTGTTTGGTTTTGTTTTTTTGGCAGACCAGGGAAGGTTGTAACATTATTTAAATTTGGAAAATCATAAAGGGGAATGAGAGGCTGAAAATCAGTCATAATTTTATTACCCTATCATAACAACTTTTGTTATATTTTTTTCTAGTTGTCAACTATATGCATCCCATAGTTATAATAATAAAGTGTGTATGGGTTTGTATTTTTTATTACTTAATATTAAAAAACAAGCTTCATAATTATAATTTTAAAGTAACTGTCACATAGTCAAGCTAGTTTCCTCCTCCCTCTCGTCCATCATCATAAATAACATTACAGGGGACATCTTATGCATGTATTCCTACTGTAATTGTCATTATCTTTTAAAAATTATTGTTTAAGATTTAAGTTTCAATGAATGAAACCATCGGGTCTAAGGTTATGAGCATATTTATAATTCTTTATACATAGGCCCACTGCCATCAGGTCTGTCCTGACTTTAAGACTATATATCTTTACAAGAGCAGGCAGCCTCATTTTTCTCCCACGGAACTGCTGGTGGGTTTGAACCACCAATCTTGTGATTAGCAGCCCTGTTATATATATGAGGGGGCATCAGTTTTTCATGGAAAAATTCTATTATCTTGTAATTCCATTTTCAATGAACTTTTTGAAGCCCCCTCATACTACCAGAGAAATTATATAAATGTAAAAGTATAACTATATAAACTATCACATAATTCACAATAAAACATTAAAAAAAAGGAAAAAAAAATTTTTTTTTAAAAAGTATAACTATGTTATAGAGTAGTATATTCTGAAGAACCACTAGCCAAAGGGAATCTCACACTTGAAAAATTGATCAGCATTGTATAGTTGGAGATTTTCAGCTTCGCCTGTTATTTGTCATCAAACCGAGGTTGGCACATAGCTAGTCTGCACCACAACTGTTGTGTTTGACATGGCTGGCTTCTGTTCTGAACATAGTATTTTATAAATTCTTATATGTTTAGGATATTTCTCTTGCATCAAGCTGCGTTATTTTACAAACTGTTTGTTAACACCTAACTGGAACTACTGAAAGCATTCATATTGACTTTATCCCCCTACAGGCACGTGATGGTTCTGCCACGTATTTGAGATTCATTATAATATCAGCATTTGATCATTTTGCATCTGTGCATAGTGTTTCTGCAGAGGGAATGACAGTCTCAAATCTTCCTTAATTCCAAATAAGCATTCTTGCATGAGTTTTTATTAATATATTTATTTTGACATTGTCATTGGAATACTTGTATTAAAGAGATTTTTATCAACCTGTGTCAGTAATTTATTTTCTGTTCAGTATTTTATGTAAAGGAACACTGGTTTCATCGGCCAGTGGTCAAGTGGTCATCATGGGAGATCTAAGAAAGGCCTTGTGTCAATTTCTGAGTACAGCTTACTCAAGCAGGTGAATAACAAACATGAAAATTTAACTGATAACACATACTGTCACCAAATGTCTAACCTGCTGCCCTACTGGTCTGAGTGCATTAATGTTTTTAATTTATTGCTTGACAATAAACAGTATGGTTCGTAGAACAGAAAGTACTTATAATAACATATTATTGAGGCTATTAAACTTGAACTGGGCCCTGTAGGACAAGTAGTTTAAATTTATATTTTCATTTATTTTTATTCTTATTTGAAGACTTCAGAGAACAGTAAAACATATATTCTTATTTCCCAGAGACAACCATTATGCCATTTTTGGTATATTTCATGAAAACAATATCTACCAATTGTTGTTCTCAGGTGTCATTGAGTCGGTACTGACTCATCAAAACACTGCCCCATCCTGGGCCAACCTCACTATTGTTGCCATGCTTGAGCCCATTGATGATGCCACTTGGCCAGTCCATCTCACTGGGGTCTTCCTGTTTTTCTCTGACCCTCCACCTTACCAAACATGACATCCTTCTCCAGTGACTGGACCTTCCTGACAATAGGTCCAAAGTATGAGAGACGAAGTTTCGCCATCCTGACCTGCAAGAAGCACTCTAGCTGCACTTCTGCCAACACAGATCTGTTTGTTCTTTTGGCAGCCCATGGTAATTTCAATATTCTCTAACACCATAATGCAAATACATCAATTCTACGGTCTTCCTTATTCACTGTCCAGCTTTCGCATGCATATGAGGTTATTGGAAATACCATGGCTTAGTCAGGTGCACCCTACTCCTCAAGCAGACATCTTTGTTCTTCAACACTTTAAAAAGGTTTTGTGCAGCAGATTTGCCTAATGCAACATGTCCTTTGCTTTCTTGACTGCTGCTTCCATGAGTGTTGATGGTTGGTCCAAGAAGAATGAAGTCCTTGACAACTTCAATCTTTCTCCATTGATAAGAATGTTGTTTACAGGTCCATTGGTAAGTCTTTTTGTTTTCTTGACATTGAGATGTAATCCATATTGAAGGCTGTACTCTTTGATCTTCATCAGTAAATGTTTTAAGTCCTCTTCACTTTCAGCAAGCAAGGTTGTATCATCTGCATATCCGCAGGTTGTTAATGAGTCTTCCTCCAATCATGATGCCATGTTTTTCTTCATAGAACCCAGCTTCTCATATTATTTGCTCAGCATGCAGGTTGAATAAGTATGGTGAAAGAATACAACCTTGTCGCACACCTTTCTTAATTTTAAAACATTCAGTGTTCCCATGTTCTGTTCGAACAACTGCTTCTTGGTCCAAGTACAGATTCCTCATGAGTACAAGTCAGTGTTCTGGAATACTCATATTTTTCAAGCTTGTCATGATCCACATAATCGAAAGCCTTTGCGTAGTCTTTAAAGCACAGGTAAACATCTTTCTGATATTCTCTGTTTTCAGCCAAGATCCATCGGACATCAGCAGTGATATCTTGTGTTCCACGGCCTCTTCTGAATCCAGCTTGAACCTCTGGAAGTTCTCTGTCAATGTATGATTGTAGCCATTTCTGTATTACCTTTAGCAAGACTTTACTCACTTGAGATATCAAAAAGATTGTCCGATGATTTCCACATTCCGTTGGGTCACCTCTCCTTGGAATGGGCACAAATGCGGATCTCTTCCAATCAGTTGGCCACATAGTTGTCTTCCAAATTTCTTGGCAGAGATGACTGAGTGCCTCCTGTGCTGCCTCACTTTTTGAAAGATTTCCATTTTTATTCCATCAGTTCCTGGTGTCTTGTTCTATGCCAATTCATTCAATGCACCTTGGACTTGCTCCCTGAGTATCATTGGCTCTTGTTCATATGGTACCTCTTGAAACGGTTGAGCATTAACCATTTCCTTTTGGTACAGTGACTGTGTATTCCTTCCATCTTCTCTTGATGCTTTCTGCATCATTCAATAATTTGTCCAGAGAATCTTTCAATAACGAAAGTCGAGGCTTGAATTTTTTCTTCAGTCCCTGTAGTTAGATGCTGTCAAATCACTTCCGACTCAGCGACTGTCCTGCACCAACCTCACAATCATTGTTAAGCTTGAGCTCACTGCTGCTGCCATGTGCCAATCCATCTCATTGGGAGTCTTCTTCTTTTTCACCAACGCTCCATTTTACCAAGCACGATGTCCTTTCCAGGGACTGTCTGGTCCCTTCTGATAGTATGTTTGGAGTATCAGACTAAGTCTGGCCATCTTGGCTTCTACGAAGCATTCTGGTTGTACTTCTAAGACAGATAATGTTTGTTCTTTTGGCAATCCATGGAACTTTTAATATTTGTTACTAACTCCATTACACAAATGCATCAATTCTCCTATGATCTTCCTTATTCATTGTCCAACTTCCACAAGCATATGGGTCTATTGGAAATATCATGTCTTGAGTCATGCGCACCTTAGTCCACAACTGACATCTTTGCTCTTGAATACTTTAAATAGGTCTTGTGTAGCAAATCTGCTATTAAGAATACATTGTTTTATTTCTTAACCATTGCTTCCATGAGTATTGATAGTGGATCCAATCAAAATGAAGTCTTTGACAACTTTAAGCTTTTCTCCATTTATCATATTATATATTGGTCCAGTGGTGAGGATTTTTGTTTTGTTTACATTGAGATGCAACCCATACCAAAGGCTGTGGTTTTTGATCTTCCTCAGTAAGTGTTTTAAGTCCTCTTCACTTTCAGCAAGAAGGTTGTACTATCTGCATATCGCATGTTGTTAATGAGTCTTCCTCCAATCCTGATGCTACCTTTTTCCTCATGTAATCCACCTTCTCGGGTTATTTGCTCAGCATACAGATTGAATAAGCATGGTGAAAGAATACAACTCTGGCACCTATGAAGTACTCTTGTCAAAAGTGTTGCACTTGAATCAAATCAAACTCTAGAGTTAAAATTCACTTTCAGGAAATTCCTGGGATAGAGAAACAAGTTAAATGGCATTACAAGGGAGTGAATAGACTACACTGTAATCATTAATGCTGCTCACTAAAATGGTCCAGCACTGTGCCCTTCCTACATATGGTAAAATATCCATTCTGGCCTCTCTTGTTTGGGTAGGACCATATAACCAGTTTGGCCAGTGGAATGGAAAATAGTTAGTTGGCTTCTAGGGTGAGAATTGAGTTGCCTGTGTGAGACTTCAGAGTTCTTTTCTCCTCTGCACGATGATCAGTAATGTTCTTTTTAGTAGTTGCTTTATCAAGCTGGGTCTGGGATTGAGAATGGTTACAGGGAACAGAGCTCCCAGTCAATCTAAGAGGGACTTGTAGCAGGAGTAAGAAATAAAGCTTTGTTGTTTTAAGCCAATGAAGTTTGGGAGTTGTTTGTTACTTGTTACCACAGTAGTTTAACATTTCCTGATTGATACACAGACAAATATAAAATGTGGCTCATCCTACAGGGCAAATGACCTGGCTTCTTCAACAAGTAAGTGGCAGAAAAATGTTAATTGATTATTTGTCTAATTAAACAAAGGAATGGGGAGAATTCTAGATTCAAAGAAGTGTGATATAAGAGCCCCAACAACCAAAACCCATGCCATGTGTAGGTTTTGTTTACATGCTAAGTAGAACAAACCAGCTTAACAAATACCTTTTTAAGATAATTGAGAATATTTACTTATGGACTGATGTTACTGATATTCCCAGAAGGGAGTTAATCAAAATTAGGAGCAATGTTAAAACTCTTGGTTGTTGAAGTCGATTCCAACCCATAACGACCCTGTATAGGGTTTCCAAGGAGCAGCTGGTGAGCTTGAACCACCAACCTTGCAGTCTGGTACATTAATCCACAGCACCATACCAGGACTCCAAAACTCTTGGTACTTCCTGATACATGGTTTACTAAAAAATGTTGCATAAATTTACACTTAGAAAGGGAGGTTTTAGATAAATGGAAGAGAATAGAAAAAGTATTTCAAGAGCATATGATCAGGGATTTAGAGATGACTGTTGTTAGGTGCCGTAAAATTGACTCGGACCCATAACAACCCTGTATAGGGTTTCCAAGGAGCAGCTGGTGAGCTTGAACTGCCAACCTTGCAGTTCAAACAGCTTTGCTGTCTGGCGCATTAACCCACAGCGCCACATCAGGACTCCATATTCTTAAAACACATTAGGGGAAGGACGAGTAGATAAGTCTGACTTGAGTGGGAATCAGATCAAAACTGTGTGTTACAGCCAGATCACAGGGCACTGTTAATGCTTCAGATACTTTCTCGTAACACCAGAGCCATTTAAGATTTTTGAGAAAGGCAATTGTGTTCATGTTCAATAAAATGAAATGCCGAGGATTTTCTTTTTACTGGGTTTCTAAATTGAAATGTCAATAAATTTTTCTGCAAGAAACACTGTGTTAAGGCTTAACATGAAGCTACAAGGGAATCAGCAGAGGTTTTCTGAGTGATCTCTTTGGCATAGGCCTAGAGAATTATCTCTAAGTCTTTTTCCTCTGTTTCTGTCTTCTGTGGATACAGAGAACTAGGGATCAGTGTAGTACTTGTAATACCACTTTATATATCATATTTGAAAACAGTCTCCTTTAACCTTCATTTTCCTAAGCTCTAGAAGGTTAAAAAAAAAATCACCTTATAAAACCACTCCAAGTTTCATGTATAGTATACATGGCTTTATCTTCTTCTTTTAAAGTCTTTATTTTTAAATTGACCCCCATCACCGTTGTTAAACCTCATTTGCCCTCCCTCAAAGTAAGTTGTCTTCTTCCCCTCCTCCCCATTTGGCCTTGTGTTCTGTGTGATTT